ATAGACAGCACAAACAACAATAACAGAACCCCAGAAATCCTTCAAATGAAGAAAAATCAAACATCAAGTTCTAAAATTATGGCAAATGGCATTTGGGTTGCTTGTTGTTTTTGTTTTTTTTGTTTGTTTGTTTTTGTTTTTGTTTTTGTTTTTGTTTTGTTCTGTCATTTGTTTCCTTGCTGAATTGTTTCCATGCTGGGGACCCAATGCAAGGCTTTGCACATTCTAGGCTAGTTCTCCCAAGGCTGTATAGACCCTGCCTTAACCTCAAGATGAAGCAAGCTCCATCAATTTACAGGAGGACCAGATTGCTTGAGATTTGAGAAGACCTACTGTTCAACCCTGAATTTATTATTTATTAGCCATATTACTCTTACAAAGTTACTCCATGACAATGAATCTCAGTTTCTTAATATGAAATTGAAGGTAATTTTTCCTTTACAAAATTAAGTGGATTAAAAGAAAATTTAAATCAAGTGCCTGTCACATAATGAGTTCTGTGAAATATCAACCTTTTTTGTTCCCTTTTTATGTCAATTACATTAACTGATACATTTCAAAACATATTCTGTGTGCCACAGGAATAAAAATTATAAAGTTGATACAAAGAAATTAATAGCCAATCAGAAACAGTTTTCAGTAAATAAAGCTAGAACAATTTGACTAATATTTTAATATATGCAATTATTGTATGTATACATAACATGTGCACCAGTGAATCTATGTCATAGTCAGAAGGTACATTACAGGAGTTGGTTTTCTCCACCCACCATGTGGATCCAGAGGACTAAACTTCAGTCATCAAGCTTGATGGCAAATGCATTTACACACTAAGCCACCTCACTATCCCTAAGAAGTATTGTCTAACACAATACTGGATCATAACCCAAATTGTATTGATATTAATAAATGATTGAATAAGTAGAAGAAGAACAATCATTCTCATAGAAAAATTTAAAGTATTACACAGATGAAACTGTTTTCTTAGATGTGGAATGGACTTAGTGACTCATTCCTAAGAATAAAGACTGGAGAAGAAGAATATAACTGACTAGGGAAACCTGGTAGGCATGCCATAACTAAGCAACCAAATTAAACATTTGTCATATGGAAGTCATATATCCCCAGATATGATTAGAAACAGTAACGTTTCATCTCTGTGGTGCAGTTTCTGAAACCCATGCAAAAAACATATAAAATCATCAGCCAGATGTGTTTTCTGCCAGTATTCTTCAAAACTGACAATGCCTCAAAGAACAGTGGGACTATCAAGATGAGAAGACACTAGGAGGTCAAAGCACACAGAAAATAAACATGCATTGTGATGTCCTGGATCAGATCTTCAAGCATAACAAAGGGGAAATAGCATAAAGCCTATCAAGATGCAGATAAAGCCTGCACTAGTTGAAGGAGGCAGAACAAAGTTGGCATCTTTCTTTGGACAAATGGCATACCTATGTTATGTCCATTCCATCAACAAGGCTCACCGTTGCAGAAACCACATGAAAAGAATACAGAAAACTTGAATTATCTTTGAAATCTTTCTGTAAACAAAAATTATTCCTAAGTAAATTATTTTTAAGGATAAAAGTTAACTTTGAGTAAGAAGAGGGATTAAAAACACAAGAAGTTAAAACTAAGTATTAAATGCTATGAGGTGAATTAAAATTATACAGGTGCACAAAAATAGAAATCATCAGGATATAAAACATTAAGAGCACATAATACACACAGAGAGAAAAAGGAAGACAGAAGGAGAGGGAAAATCATAATACCATTTAATAAAAATATTTCAAATTATTGCTTCATATAAAGAAAGAAGTCTTTAAATGAATGAGTGTTGATAATCTTCCCCAAAGTAAAACCCATTATCTGTTGACTTAATATTATTTAAAGAAACATTCAAACACTTCTAATTGTTGTTTTATATTCCAAAAAATGAATTGTGTAGGTCATTGATTCCATTAGCTACTGAAGCAACTTTTATTGAAAATAATTTCATATATTTCCCCTCCCCTAACTCCTGCCAGATCCCCACCTACCTACCCACCCAATTTTATGTTCTTTCTCTCATTAAATAACAAACTTTTAACTAAAACACACAAGGATAATTGAGAGTAGAGTGACCTTAGTATTTCTTATCCCAGATGCTAAAATCCTCAATAAAAATTGAGAAAGGTGAACTGACATTGAACCAATATCTTTACTCCTTCCCCCAAATGAAACATTTAACATTTCTAACTTTGGATTGTTAAGAAAAGCTCTCTTCTGTTTGTTCTTGGATGGGCAAACAAGAAGTCAAGTGACGCCCCTAAAACCTATACTTTGACATCCAGCTCCCCTTATTATCCATTTTCCCATAGACTGAGGCTTCTGGAAGCAATTTCTTGGCAAATGTCATAATTAGGAGGGACAATTCCAGAAGTAGTGGAGCAGGTGGTAAAGAAAGAGAGAATGGGGAAGCTAGGGTAATAACACTGAGCATATAAAATACAGCTCTGCAGGGAAGGCACATGGACAGGGCTTGAGCAACAAACTAGAAAGAAAAAACCTGCTGAAAATATATTCTGTAGTTGTTTCCTTGCACTCACATTTTTATCTGTTCAGACTGTCCAGAAGATATAGAAAAAAAGGATGCTTCACAGATAGGCATTATCTAGAATATTCTAAAAGTCTGGCAACTGTAATACCCTTTTCTGGTTCAATTCTCAACATGAAAACACTAGAGCATAAACCACTTAAAAAACCATCCTCCTCAGACACTTCATATATCTCAGGTGTATGGAGACACCCAACAATAAAATCATCAGGAAAAATGGCCCCTAGAATCTACTCAGCACCCTGAAAATTAAAAAGAAGTAAGATCATTTGAGTGCACTTCTGAGACTAGACCCTGGCTCAACACAATAGGCCTCAATAAACTGTGCACTTTAAAAATCAAAGATGCAGAAAGTAACAGATTTAAGATAATAAAAGAGATTAAGATTCATTAAGAAAAATATAGGAGCTATGAGGTATTTGTTTACTCTTGCATTTTGCTTTTTCTCTGGCAACAAAGACATTTCTCAATTTTTAAAAAGTTTATTATTAGTGTATGTGTATATATGGGTGCTACAGAGTACATGTGGAGGTCAGAGGATTTCATGAAGTCAGTTCTCTATGTCCACCTGTAAGTCCAAGATCAAACTCAAGTGTCAGAGTCCTGCAAGCCTTACCTGCTGTCATGTCATCAGCCCTCGATGGTCCTTGTTTGAAAAATATTTTTTCTTCTTTTTATTCGTCTATTTATTTTACATCACAGTCGAAGCCCCCCCCCCAATCTTCCCCTCCCAGTTCCTCTCCTCATCCCTCCTCCCACACCCAATCTTTTCCTCTTCTGTCTCCATACAGGAAATTTCAGGTCTCCCATGAGTATCAATAAAACATGGCATATCAACTTTCATTAAGACTAAGCACCTCCCCATGTGTTAAGGCTGGGCAAGGTGACCCAGTAGGAGGAGTAGGGTCCCAAACACCAGTAAAAGAGTTGGGGACAGCCTCTGTTCCTGCAATTTGGAATCCTGTAAGAGAGACAAGCTACATAACTGTAACATATATGTAAAGTGCCTAGGTCACTCCCATGCAGGCTCCCAGGTTTTCCATTCAGTCTCTGTAAACCCCTATGAGTCCAGGCTAGTTGACTGTGAGTCTTCCTAGGGTGTCCTTGACACCTCTGTCTCCTCCTCTGCAGGATTCCCAAACGTTGGCTAATATTTGATTGTGGGTCTTTGCATCCATGTTCAGCAAGGAATTGTGCGCAACTGGACTTCAGAGACTCAGCAGATTTTTTGCTTGTTATTACAAAAAAAAAAAAAAACCCAAAACCATAGGATCCATTCTTTTCACCCATTTAACCCATAACTTGGCCTTTAAAATCTTATTTCTCATGGCACATAAAGCAAGCATAAGAGGGGGGATGAAGGAGAGAAGGAAAACAAAGAAGAAAAGAAGGGCATCTTAGTTATTGTCCTGTTGCTGTAATGAGACACCATGAACAACATAACTTATAAAAGAAGACATTTAAGTGGAGGCTTGCTTAAAATTTCAGAGATTTAGTCCATGATCATCATGGCGGGAAGCATGGTAGCAGGCAGGCAGGAGGACAGACAAAGGTCATTTGCTGAGGCAGTAGCTGCAAGTTTACATCTTATTCGCAAGCAAGCACACTATAGAAAGATCAAGAGACCAGGCCTGGCATAGGCTTTTGAAATCTCAAAGCCAGCCCCCAGGAGGACACACCTCCTTCAATAGTCCACACCACTAATCCTTCCCAAATAGCTCTACCAACTGGAGACCAAGAATTCAAATATTATGAGCCTACAGGGCCCATTCTCATTCAAATCACCAGCGAGAGAGAGAAAGGCAGAGAGGGAGAAAAGAGTTAATAATTCCCACCAAGTCAATCAATCTCAAACTCGGTTTCCTATAAATAGAAAGAAATCTAGTGGGAAGAGAATAAAATAATTGCTTATTTGTGTGCATAATTCTGACTAAGCACAAGCACATTAATGCCTTGGATTTAAATATGCTTCTGTGTTAACCACCTGGTCTCACACTTTCCAAAGAGAAACAGATGTGTGCATTTCAAGCTTGCCAGGTATCTGTACTTGCACAGTGTTGTTACAATGGCCATGGACTCTGTCAACGTACCTAGCAGCAGTGGTCTAGTTACCTAAGCAACACCTGTGCGTGAAAGGATCAGCACCACCAAATTCTCCCACTGCTTCAGCCTTAATTTATTCTTCCAACTCAGTTGTCCACTTTCCTGACTGAAATGAGATATGAAAATGTGGCCTCTGGCCACAGATGAGGCTGTCCCCACCAGTGGTGTGCCTGTGCTCAATCAAAAGCATTAACTGTGAAAGCAAAGTTGCCCCACAAGCCTACCTAATACTCAAATGTATATGACATTCTCATGCTGATTTGCCACCTCCTGGTGAATCATTTGGCATAGAACTGTCTCCAGTGTCATAATTTAATTGTCATAACAGCCCACAACACATAGGGTAAGAGAAAACACAGACCTGCATCAAGAGGCAATATGTTCCAGAAACATACATTAACAAATTGTATTGAATCTTTTCAAATGGAGGAGAAACCAGATTCAGAGAGGCCAACATGTTAACCGAGGTCAGCCTAGCAGTGAACAGAGTTATTCATCCAATAAGAATCTTCCACACGCTGGACAGTGTTTTCTACTAACCTAAAATTTAGAGATATGTGATGCATATGTTAATATACTTTTTTCATATACAAAGGAAGTTAAAGGGAAAATATAGATTTTATAGGGCTACAAAAAAATGCATAGGATCTCAAAACATTAGAATTTGGGGTTCATTGATCTCACCTTCCAATCAGTGGGATCAACTCTTCCATAGTGGCATTATTAATGATTGCCAGCCTCAGGATTCAGTTAGTCTCAGTGTCATGAAGATCCCTGTGGTACAAAATAGACTATTCAGCATTTGAAAATCCTTAAATGTAAGTATGCTCTATTTATCCTTTGTGTATATATGTTTGTTTGTTTGTGTGTGTATGAGTGCGTGCGTGCATGCGTGCATGCGTGTGTGTGTGTGTGTGTGTGTGTGTGTGTGTGTGTGGGATAAACACCTGTGTGTAAAGGTAGGTGTATTTGTATATGTCAGAGGAGGATGTCAGGTGACCTAGTCTATCATTCTCTACCTTATTCCCATGTAGCAGCATCTCTCAATGAACCTATAAGTAGACTGGCAGTCAGAAAGCCCAGCCATCCTCCTGCCTATGTTCCGTGGTCCTGGGATTATGAGCACCTGTGTGTCCATGTCTAGCTTTCAACATAGGTGCAGAAGATTCACACTGGGTTTTCATGCTTGTACAAGTATTCTAACCCACCGAGCCATGTCCCTCACCACTCAGGAACATTTTTGAGCAGAACTTCTTTGCCTTAAATATATGATATAAAAAGCTCTAAATGGCAAGACAGAAAACATGGGTTTCCTAAAGCCTGCCTTTGACTCTGATTAAAGCTGTGCTTTCAAATGGCTCCCAGTGACATGATTTCCTCTGGCCCCCATTGTAAGCATAATACAGAAGCTATGGACTGACTAATATATCTGGTGGTGGGCACTCCCCACAAATGGTTCCGCATGTTACATTTATATTTATATAGGCTAAAATTAAATTTGATATTTTTCTGTATTTCAATCATGCCACATTTTTAGTCAGAATAGTTTTGGAATGAAAATCTTGTTCTCATATAAATAGCTAATTAGTTATAGTACCATACCATGATTAATATTCTAGCAAAGACATGGAAGTTAACTGTTACCTTGTTTAGATAGTCTCAGGACTGAGCATTTTGTAAGTGATGTGATTCTTTAACATTATAATCCCCAATAATCAAGAGAAAAGTTTTAATAATTCTATTTCTCAGGCATTGCTAGTTTTATCTAATGAATTCCAACAATAGCACCATGAATCAACTACTATTCCCTTTTTACAGATAACAGGAGCTAGAGCCAATCAGACAAAAGATCGAAACCTCATAAAAAAACACTCCCTGTGCCAAGCTCACATATATATGTCTCATTATAAAGTCTTAATGAATCATCTTATTGAACATCTTTCAATAACTTTTGCAATTGTAGGGAGCCGTCCCTGCATTCTCCATTACAATGATGGCGCCTGAAGGCACTAAATGTAAATTATTACGCAGGCGCTGGGTAATTTTCCATTTCCTTGATCTCTGCCTATTC